TAGAAGCTATAGTAAAGCCAGAAACATACTATGCTCAAGAACACGTTGCCTATTTGATATCTAAGATCATTAAGCTTGTTGGACGGTAAACAAAACTGGTGCTACTTTTCTTATAAGCCAACGTGGATTCAGAAAAGCCATTTGATTGTGATATCCTCCTGTGCTGGATCGAGGGGACAAGTGAAGTTTCGTCAACTCTTCTCTGAAGTGGTTAACTGAGACATGTGAAGAATGTGAAGGAAGTACTTTGTGATAGTGGCCATTGGCATCACATATTCCCATCTTTTTCCTACCAAACTTGGACTCTCCTTGAATAATCTTTGGAAGATGCGTTTCGTTCTTTTATTTTGTATCTTGAATTTATCGACAAGCAGAGCCGACGTTCTTTCTTTCATGCAAAAGCCTAATTATAAGCTTGCTGCTCCACATGAGGACAATACTAGACAGATGATTTTGCATCAGACTGGTCATAAAAAAAACACAGAGCAATGGCAGTGATTCTGTTCTGTTTTTAAAGAAATACAACCCAGCCACAATTTGGTACAGATTACTAGGACACTTTGAACATGAACAGAAATCACAGAGAGAGGTGCTCACGCTTCGACAGTCAGATCAAACTGAGTCAGCAGAAAAGAACGCAATCCATTTTCCAGAAAGACAACGACGACAAGCTATTTCTGATAACTCGTCCACAACAGAGGAAGACATTCCGATAAAAGACAACCAGACCCTGACCACCGGACGGTTGGATTGGCAAAGCTTGACAAACTGCAATAGGACTGACGTAGCAGCAAAGACTTCTTCAAGCAATTCCTCAAACATTTCCTCCAACATTTTTTTCCTCAAACACTTATTCCTCCCACACTTCTTTAAATCTTTCCTCAAACATTTCCTCAAAACCTTCCTCAATCACTTCCTCCAACACTTCCTCATCAAACCTTTCCTCCAACACGTCCTCCGAGTCCTGCATAGATTACTGTTTGACCGTCCACAATAACGTGTCTTGCCCATGTGACCCAGTATGTTTCTTTAGAGACTCATGTTGCCGAGACATTGACCTGCTGTGTCCGGCGGAGTGGACAACGACACTCCAACTGTTTCATCCCAGCATATTCCAAGCCCGCCTTGTCTGTGACGTTGCCATGAATGTACCGACCGTGGACTCGTGTCCTGACCACCCATCTGCTGTGCTGGATCCCCCACAAACGTCATCTCAGGCCCAACTTTTGAAGTAAGAAATGTTCCCTTCCTATGCTGATGTGTGGTTTTTTGTTTTAGTTTTAGTAGACGTTTTACGGCGCTCGCAACTGCATAAGGTCATATGAGCTCCAAGGGGTAGATATCAACAGAGAAGTCCTTACAGGGAATCAGACTTACTCTGCTCACCTCTCTAGCTTCAACGGCACAAAAATTCTGCTTCGACTATCAAGGCACCCCGGAAATAGCGGGTCACAAGAGTGTGGCAAACATAAAAAAGAAGTAGAGGAAAACGACGACAGTAAGGATTAGGAAAGAAAAAGCAGCAGTTCCCTGTTGTAGTTCAGGCACAGATATGGGCATGACATTGTTGGATCAACCCATTTACAATTTAACTGTGCATTAGAACGAGAAATGTCCCCCCTTTGGGGAATGGCCTAAAGACACTTTAGTCAGTAGAACCGCTCGGGGGTTGTGAGGTGAGCTGACAAAATGAGCTACTTCTCGCAATCCACAAATGGAGATATTGGCTATAAAAATCAACACTAGGGCCAAATTTGTAGATTTTCAAAAGATGTCATATTCTGTATGTGTAATAGGCGTGAGATTATTTCATACTTAGGTATTTTCAAAAACTTATAAGCTTGATGTATCTATTTCCATATTGCTCAAATCCAAGAAGTAACTCATAATGTCAGCATGTTTCACATTTACGTTCTTGAGCTGTACATGGCAATCGTTTTTTTCCCTCAAAAGATTAATCAGGAAAATTCCCTCTAAGTGTTAAAACGACTCCTCTTGTCGATGTTGATATCATGTTCCCATTTCTATCTATGTGAGGTATTCAATTTGTTTAAAGGAAGAGCAAGATGATTTATTTAATAATGTGAGTGTTTTCAGCCAAACCCCATTTCAGTTAGAAAACAGTGCGATTGATGTGAACTCACCCATCAAGCAGATGACGCCCCCCGGGGCAGTGCCACTGACTGTAGTGTCTTTAGGACATTCCCAAAGGGGGGACATTTCTTGTTCAAGCACAGTAGAATTGTAAATGGGCTGATTCATGTCACGTATATAACTGTGCCTGATCTACAACAGGGAACTGCTGCTTTTTCTTTCCTAATCCTTACTATTTTCATTTTTCCTCTACTTCTTTTGTATGTTTGTCACTCTCTTGTGACCTGCTATTTCCGGGGTGCCTTGATGGTCGAAGCAGACCTTGTGCTGTTGAAGCTAGAGAGATGAGCAGAATACGTTTGATTCCCTGTAAAGACTTCTCTGTTGACACCCACCCCTTGGCGCTCATATGACCTTATGCAGTTGCGAACGCCGTAAAACCCTCTACTATAATAATAAAAAATAAAAAAAGTAAATAAACAGATGACCTTTACCACAACAGACAACAGCACATATAATAGAAAGTGACATTCTTCCAAATGCGTTGCCATTGGTAGCAAGAAGGTCTTTCTTTGATGAATCTCGGGGTTTTTTCAACGAACGTGTACCTGTATTGTGAGATAATATCGTAAATTTGTTCAGATGTGCAAAAGTGCTAAAATGAGCTGACTCGGTGATTTTTGCATTCCTTTTTACATACAACATCAGGAGACACAAAATCTGACAACCCTATATAATAATTATTGTTATGGTCATCCTTGTTTTAAAATTGCTGTTGAAAAACTGTTCTTTTAGTGTGGAAGTTGTTTTATCTATTACATAACCGGATAAAGGAGGATGTTTCAGTTCCATTTAACTTACGCTGAGTACAAAATCATTGTATTAAAAATAAAACACTTTCAGACTATTACACATGTTCATACAGCTTCAAAGTTCTCGTAGTTGGTAGTTGAAAGACACATTTGGACAGCAGCAAAAATAGAGCGCAGCACAATCATGGCTTGCATCTTGGTGATACATGTATTAGGCTCTCGTCAAAATAATACATGTACAACCGAAGAAATACGATGTTTCCGTCCATTTGGCAATGTTTATCAATTCTTTCCAGGATCAACACCTAACATGTCCATCAAGAAATAATCTTGTCAGATTCAGCTGAAAACATTTGACACAAAAATAACATTTTCAGTTTCCATCAACACTCAAGCTTTTGATGCCCCAAAACTTTGGCAGTCATTTTCTCGTTAATGTTGCTTTTCACATCGGGCGAAGCACTTTTCCTTCAATCGTAGATACGTACCTCAACATCTATTCAAGATAGATGGGGTTTTTTTTAAACCAGAGGCAATAGGAATGAATAAGATTTTAAGATTGCACCAATCACAAAAAAGTCTTGCTATTTTTCGAGCACAGTGATCGATTTTCTGTATATTAAAGAAGATTATTATGTTGTCTCCTTTGGTTTTATTTACTCTTAAGTTTACTCGAAAATTTGACGAAATTAATTGGTGCAAAGATGCTTAGTTATTGGCATTCATATGATTTCACTCTTGTAGACACTCGATATAAAAGAAAACCCCAATAATTTCTATTTACCCTTATCTGTCCTTTTGTAATGGTGATGTTGGTGATTTTTTTTGGTTTCCTTAATGGGCCTGGTGGACTCCACGAAGAAATCTTCGAGCGAGGGCGAGGCTCCTTTTCGGCTCCCTTGCCAATATACTTAAAGGCACCTCCACTTGTCCAAATAACTCATTTCGAATTGCCATTGTTCCTTGACATTCAAACATAATGTTTGACATCCTCCTTTTCATGGCTGCATCTTCGGCAACGTGGGCTGAGCTCTTCATTAACAAAGTTCTTATACCATCTTAAGCTCCAATGATGGTCCGACCGCAGTCTCGCTAGCTCAACCTGGTCCCAGCGTGATGTTGATGAAGGTGATGATGATGATGATGATGATGATGATGATGATGATGATGATGATGAGTAGGAGGAGGAGGATGATGATTAGTAGGAGGAGGAGGAGGAGGAGGAGGAGGAGGAGGAGGATGTAATGGATGATGCCATGCCGTTTGTTAACTTTCCAGAATGAACAGTCCTGTCACAGAGACCACCACTGGGCTCACGTTCCTCAACTCCTCTGTGTACTGGTGTCATGCTAATCCAACCAACGATTCCCGCCCAAATCTGGTGTACTGGACTGGAGTGTATAATGGACCCGCCTTTTGGGGACACGAAGACCTTGAAGCAGCCCTCACAGATTTACCAAAAATGGAAAAGTATGTTCTTTTCATTTCCTTCCTCTAAATGTCTCAATTTCTTTGTGTCTCTGTCTCTGTGTTTCTCTGTTTCTGTCTGTGTAGTTTAAGACCTACGCTTGAATACAGGTTATTACTGGAGGTGGCGAAGAAGAAGAAGAAGAAGAAGAAGAAGAAGAAGAAGAAGAAGAAGAAGAAGAAGGAAAAGGAGAAGGAGAAGGAGAAGGAGAAGGAGAAGGAGAAGGAGAAGGAGAAGGAGAAGAAGAAGAAGAAGAAGAAGAAGAACAACAACAACAACAACAACAAAAACAAAAACAAAAACAACAACAACAACAACAACTACATCAACAACAACAGCAAGAAAAAGAAACTGGTATCTTTTTTGTTTTATTTCCCCAGGTTCTATATTTACCCGTCCAGGTGTGAAAAACCGCGTTCGTGTGATCCCAACAAACACACACAGAGACACTTCAAGTTCGCAATACTGCTTGATGTCGATGACGACAACCTTATTCACTTCAGAAAAAATCCCTTAAGCTTTAGTAAGACGTGGGTATATACCGAATGTGGAAGCGAGCCCGAGCAAAAATGTCGACACGTCCACTGCAATGGAGATGAAGTGGAGAGGGTAAATGGACAATGTCTGTTTGAGCTTGGTTATTGTGTTGGGATAAACGCACCACCCTTTATCATCTCAGCTACCTCAGGTGCTGTTCAAGATCCAAAGACAGCGAACGTTGAGACTGAGACACCCTTCAACTCCCGATTCACCAAGTATCTTAAGTGTGTGTTCCGTTACAAGTACTCTTCGGCTCAGATATCAGAGATCATCCCTTTCCCAGATAGTGAATGATTTATTGATAGAAATAATTTCTAATTTTTTAGGATAGAAGGTACGTTCCCATCGACAAGCGAACTTCCGTACGAGGCGTTCCAGGAGGCGGTAGCCTTTTACTTACAGTATTTGGGGTGGGCATCCGGAACATCAAATTTGCGATACATTTTGCATTCGTCAAACCAGGAGAGATTCAAAACCCAAGAAGCGCCATCTACCCTGTGGAACAGGTCGGCAGCGGTTGTCGACAAGCCTTCTCATCCGTGTGAAAACAGTTCCGGCAACTGCTCCGCTAAGGGTGACGTGAACGAAACAAGCAAATTATATGCAAGTGATGACCTTAGGTGCACAGACGAGCCCTTCATTGCTACTAGTTATACTACATCCTGTGTGTATTATTATTTTTCGGGAAAGTTCCAACTACCTATACCCCCTGATGTGATGAGGCCTTTACGAAGTACCTCAAGAAACTATACATTTTGTATTTCGGGAGAGAGGTCCAATCAATACATAGAGAACGTCGGGTTCCTTGTCATGCTTGTGCTATTCGTGGTCAGTGCATGCCAGCAGTAGGACTGGACAATGAGTCGCTTTAGCAAAATCCGGATAATAATAGGATAGTGCACGACTTCGGCAATGATAAATTTTAATATGAACCGCTTCGGCAAATGGGTTTGAACCACTTCGACAAATGAGTGCACCCACTTCGGCAGACGGGTCAGGAAAGAGAGTTAAGAATCTGAATTTGGATAATGTTTCACTGAGAAATGTCTGATTACCCTTATAGGTTATCCGAGCTTTGCCCACCTCTGGCCAGCAGTAACTGAAAATGGTGAAATGGTATAGGTTTAACGCCCCTATCAACACTATTAGGTTATTTAAGAGGCGAGGCCTCCGAGTTCAACGTCCATCTCCGAAAGGACCGAGCCAGTTGGGAAATTCGTGCAAAGTGCCTTTCCCAAAGACACAACGTTGGACCGAGCTGAGGCTCGAACCCCCAAACCCGCACTCTCACGATTACAAGTCCGGTAGCCTAACCACTAGGCTACCGACGCCACCCAGCAGTAACTGCAAGACTGGAACAGAGGTGTCTTTGCACGCAAATGGTGGCGCAAGGACTACGCGAATTCGCCCTAGGGGGATTTTGAATTGAAATTGATCAATACGATATTCTTTGCAAATTGCTGAAATAAATAACTACAGAGTCATGAAACCGTCGTCCTTTATTCTTGTTTTAAAAAATATCAATATTAAACATCGTTAAAGTATACCAGTACAGTAAAGGATACTTATATTTCACAAGTTAATGTTAAAGATGACACCTTTGCACAAGTTAAGAGATAGATCATAAGGATTTCACACAAGTTGGGATATAGATAATCATGTTTTACAAGTTAAGTAATAAATATCCATGTTATACAAGTTAAGAGATAGATAACCATGTTATACAAGTTAAGAGATAGATATCCATGTTATACAAGTTAAGTGATAGATATCCATGTTATACAAGTTAAGAGATAGATAACCAAGTTATACAAGTTAAGTGATAGATTATAACAATGTTATACAAGTTAAGAGATAGACAACTATGAGAAAAGAATTGTGCAGAAGACGGCCACCCTATGTAACAAGTACTTGAATGATAATGCGCCGTCATATTTATCAATCCTGCTGAGACTGCACATTTCAACTCCCAGTTTAAGGTCATCAGCTGACAAAAAGAAATTTCTTGTACCATCTATGAAACCTAAAACAGTGGGTGAAAGAGCAATTGAATATCAAGGCCCCAAGATCTGGAATGCTTTGTCAAGTACTATAAGAGAGATCACATTTTTTGATTCATTCAAATGTAAGCTGAAGTCATTTCTGTTTTAAAATTATATGTGAAGCAGCGTGTCGGAATCAGGCTCTCGTTAATTTTTGGGCATGTAGAGTTATTAGTATCATCTTAAAGCTTGTTCATTTGTCTTTATTTGGATGGAAAAAATATCAATTTATTATGATTGCAAGTCGAGATATTTGCGAATAAAGGAGGTGGGGGTCACCTGTTTTCAGAGGTAAAATAAGTGAGAAAATGGCCGCCAAAGATTAGTTATTTCCTTAGCAAAAAGAGTCCGTGGTAACAG